AGAAAAGAGCAAGGGAGGGGAGAGGAAGGAAGGGGAAGGGAGGGGAGAGGAGAGGGACAGGAATAAAAAGATGTAGGAATGGGGATTTTTTGCTAAAAAATCGTAGACCAAAATAGTCACTATTATGGATTTTTACACTGTAGGTACTTTGCTGTGGCAGCCAAGGGATGCAGTAGATAATCCATCCCTTGGATTCTCTAAATCCAGGTAGGTTGTATTGTTTGAAATGTAATGTAATTCAAATATAAAGTGTTACTCTCAGAGAAGGAATCCCTTCTACTCTGCAAAAGGTCAGGCAGCCACAGATTGCATTCCCTTCTGGTCCCTAAGTCTACAAATTTTGGTCTGATTTGTGTTCCTCTTTGTGCAGTCCTGAGCCAAGGTGTACAGAGAGCAGAAATGATGAGCTCCTCCCCCCAACCTCTCAGCAGCACTGAGTTAACAGTGCAGTAATATAAAATCTTTGTTTGTTCCAGTATGGACCCGTGTTCACAATATTCGCTCTGGGAAAACGATTTACTTTTGTGACTGAGGAAGAAGGAACTGAAGTATTTTTTAAATCTGAAGACTTAAACTTCGAACAGGCAGTACAACAAGCTGTCAAGAATGCAGGTAACTGAGACCTGGCTCTTTTTTAAAGGAAATCAAATCTAGTTACCCAGGAACTTTAAAGTAAACTGGAAGCCCACTGGCTCTTTGATCACACCTTAAATGCTTATTGTAACCCATGACCATGCTGTGAAATGAAGGTGAAACTCAATTTCTCCATGTGGATCCAGCACTGTAAACCTGCAAAGTGATTTGGATTCAGTCACAAGGAAGCAGAGGTTTCTGATCCAAGGGCTGTTATTACTTTCATCATCAAGCAACCCAAGTTTGAGATCAGGTCCTCTTCTGTGGCTGGACACTGTACCGTGTTTGGAGTGAGTGTAGTCCTGTCACTTCATTTGCAAATCAGGTTGTAGCAGTAATTAGTTGTTACCCTGTGGTACAACAGGCATTAAAAATGGGCGAGGTATATATCCCATCCAGAGTGGCATGCTCTGTCAGCTCATGTGCTTATATCCTCACAGAATAGCACAGACAGGAATTCTTTGAGTAGTTTGGCAATTTTAGACTGTGAAATAAGAGAGAAGCAAATTGTCAGAGAGATTAAATCACAGAATCTCTGTGGCTGGAAGGCACTGTTGGAGATTGCCTGGTCCAAGTCCCTGCTCAGAGCAAAGTCAGTGACAGCAGATTGCTCAGGGCTGTGTCTAGTTGGATTTTGAATATCTCCAGGGCTGGAGACTCCTCAACCTGTTTGGGCAACCTGTTCCTGTGTTTGATCATCCTCACAATAAAAACTTCCCTGAGTCTCAGTGGAGTCTCCTTTGTTGCCATTTGTGCCTATTGCCTCCTGCCCTGAGAACAGCCTGGCCTCATCTTTCTTCCACCACCAGATATTTATCCACAGTGACAAGACCCCCCTGAGCCTTCTCCTCTCCAGACTGAAGAGTCCCAGCTCTCTCAGCCTCTCCTGAGAGGATGTGCCACTGTAGAAAGGTGACACAAACTTTTTTCTTAGGATAATTTATTTTTCATTACAGTCAGTTCTGTGGATGTGCATGCACATCTCTCTATATTCCACTGGGGGGAAATCTCTGGATTGTTGATTCTGGCATTGAAGCTTCATAAGGCACGAAGATGTTACACAGACTGGTAGAAGCAGAGGGCTCAACAAAATCTTCACTGTAAGAAGCTTCTTTAGAAAGAAGCTTACAGAGTATTTCACTCTAGGAAAATGAGGGTTAAGGCACTTAAATTACAGTCAAAAGTTAAGTGTAAAAGTTTTCACTCTATCTTTCAGTGAAAATCTACTTTGTCTACTTTCCAAAACGTTTTTGTTTCTTTTTGTATTTAGTTTCTGTTCCTGCAGAAGCATTTTATCAGAATCACGGTAACCTGTACAGCATGATGAAGGGAAAAATGAGTCCTTCCAATCTGCACATGTTCACGGGCACTTTGTGTAAGGAGCTACAAGAGCACATGGCTCAGCTGGGCATGGAGGGCACAGGCGACCTCAATGACCTGGTAAGGTAAGGGAGTTTTGCAGCACATCTCCAATGCAGGGGTGTCCTTCATGGGAGCAGAGATGTCTCTGTAAAGCAGGTGGAGCTCAGGCTCTCAAGTGTTACAAACGTTTTGTCAGGATGCTCATCACAGATTCACTGTTTCAGGTGGCTCACAGAGCAGGCAGGGTTTCATCTAAAGGTGTTTTTTCCCAGCTAGGAGAAGCATCTGAATTACCTGTTCGAAAGAAAAAGAAAACACGGCGTCTTCCAACAAACCCTGTTTCCCAGAAGATGGGATAAAAACTTCACATGTTTATAAAGAACTTAAGAACAGACAAAATGCTTGATCTTCAGCAGGTTGAAAACTTTTCATGTTTGGGCCAAGCCTAGGCCAAAACTTAACTAAATCCTCTGCAACTGACTTTGCTGCCAGAACTTCATGTAAAAAAAAAATCCCTTCACTGACAGTTTCATGTGACAACAACAGAGCTCTTAACTTCTCCTTTTTCCTGGTCATCTGGGACAACACCTATATCTTGTCTGTCCATCAGTACTAGAAGTTGAATATTCATAGAATCATAGAATAGTTTGAGTTGGAAAGGACCTTAAAGGTCATCTCATTCCAACCTCCTGCCATGGGCAGGGACACCTTCCACTAGACCAGGTTTCTCAAAGCCCCATCCAACCTGACCTTGAAGACTTCCGAGGGATAGGGCAAATATTGCCTTTGGCTTAGACCTGTTTCTAACACCAGGTTGTCTTTTGCTGACTTTTCTCCATAATACAGCTTTTACTGCAGCTAAAACACTCAGCACCTGTCACTGCAATTGCTGCAATATGGATTAACTGGGGGAAAATGTGGGGGAAAGGGGCTTTGAAACCTCCCATCCCTCCCTTTGAAACCCTCCCATTATCCCACTTGTCTCGATAATGGGGTGCAAACCCTCACATCCCATGGTGTTTCCCCACCTGTCTTCTGAGATCAAAGTCACATCTGCTTCTTGTGAAAAAATGGGCATCATTGAATTGGTGGCGACCCACACCGCTGCCTGGTGTGCTAATATTGGCTCACATTTTCCTGTAATTCCCCTCTTGAATCCATCTGTGGTCTTTTAACCTGGGATCAAGTTTCTGTGGACAGGGATAGACCTGTTGCTCTGTGCTGTACTGGCACCAGCACAGACTGTGGTCCACAAGAGTCAGCGGTGCCATGGGCCTACAAATTATACATGGAGCATCCCATCCTACTGCATCCCTGATGGGTTCTTTCCACTTCCATGGCTGTCCTGGCATTCAAATCAGCTGTTATTTGTTTAAAATTTAAAAACCCGAGTTATTTGCCAGATGATAAAATACAGAATCCATAAAAGTGATCCACAGGAAATCTGGGGGTGGGGGGTGATCTGTTCTTACAAGGCAGAGTAAAAGAATTGGAATGCAATGCTCAGGATAGCTGTTATTTAGCTGCCTCAAAACTAAATCCACAGAGCCACTAGATGGCCCCAGTTTCCTTATGATCTTTAGAAAAGCAGGACAGAGAGCTCTATTCCCCGTTTAGCAGAGGCTGGAACCCTGCAAAGACCGAACAAGGGTTTCTTGGAGCTAAGGAGTACAGGAGAAGGGTCTGAGAATGGAGCTCAGAGTTTGCAGGATAACGGAGGAACAAGCAGGGAAGGAGTAAGATGAAAACAAAAGAACATTGTCCAGCAAAGCTGCAGCCAGAGGAACGAAGTTTTGGGTGTCGGGTCCAGAAGGGTTTGTGCAATGCCTGGAAGGTTCACGTAGGCTGACCTGAAATGAGAGGGGATGTTAATGGGGAGAAGGGGACCTTGGGGCCCAGAGCTTTTCTGCCACTGCTCAAGTGACCAAAAGATAACTGATGAAGTTCAGCCACATGCAGAGGAGTAGCCTGAGGTTTATGTATCTCCAAGTCTCTGCTTAAAATCCTAAAAAAGTGTGTGAGTGTGGTGTGAGCCTTGTGCCAGCCCTTCCATACTGGCATGATGCTTGAGTCCCACCAGTGCTGGCAATTTATCATGCTGCATCCTGACCTAAAACTGCTGCCATGGCTTCCTATGGCCCCTAAGTCTTGGGGATCTTGTCCTTGCAGGCATGTCATGTATCCAGCAGTGGTGAACACTTTGTTTGGGAAAGGCATCTGCCCGACAAGTCAGAGCAAAATCAAGGAGTTTGAAGAACATTTTCAGAAGTACGATGAGGACTTTGAATACGCTTCTCAGATGCCTGAGTGCTTCCTGAGGTAACAACCTTGCTTAGGTAGGCAGGGTTCAGCTTGGACCTGCCAGGGAGCAGCAGAACAGGGCAAAGGGCAAAGGTCTGACCCTAAATGTGAGTCCCAAGCTCAGGGGGTCTCCAATGAGGTGTCCCTCTGATTTTTTCCATACCTTAGTTGTTTTCCCAGCAGACCAATCTCAGATTATGTGGCTGCACTGTTGCAGAGTTGACCTTGGGTAGAGAGACCCAATTTCTGAGGGAGGGAAGTGCTTGTAGAGCCTGTCAGTGCTCCCAGGGCCATGATATTGCCTTAAGCACCCCAAAATAGCCTTCAGAAAGAATTGAGGGTACTCTAAAAATGTGGCCTTGATTTTCTTCAGGAGGATCATACTTGAAAAGATTGGCCTAAGCAATCTGTCCAAAGCCACAATGAAAACCTGTGGTGGAAAGGTAGGAAAATGCAGGAGTCTTGCAGTCACAGGTCCTGGCTCTAGGATGAGGTCTGGCCAAGGTGAAGGTCTTGGATGTGCTGTTCTTCATGTCAGTCATCACATCAATCAGTCAGAATGACACTTGGCTATCCATCAACTGACTGCTGCCCAGGGCCTTTTGGAAAACAAACAAGGAGTCCTTCTCATGGAAAAGGAAATGCTGGTTTGTGCTGCCTCGGTTAAGTGCTTCTTGTTTGTTGCTTTTCTTTACAGGAACTGGTCTAAATCCAAAAAATGGCTTCTAAAATTATTTGAGAAAGTAGTGTTGGATGCTGAAAGGACCAACCCTTCAGACACCACATCCAAGGTAAACATCCCAGGCTAGGAAATAAGATGACTTTGTTGTATATTCTGACTGAAGCAATGGAGGGCAGGAATTATTTCAGTACTGGAAAAAATAAATCAAATATATCAACTTTTATAGCTATGCCTTCATTGTCTAGTATTGCTGTCACCTGCAGTAGGACAGATCCAGATCCACAACTTTGACTTCTACTGCTCCATTTAGTTTATTTCCAACAATTCTGAGGATTAACATCTTCCTCTGGGGAATTTTAAGCCAAGAGTTCAGAGCTATGATCCATTGCCAGCCTCCAGTATCACACTGCAGTGAGCAGTTGAAAGAGGTGAGAGAAAGACCCTTCAGTTGTTTCTCTGAGGGCACCATGCTGTGAAATCTCAAAACCTTACATGTACTATTTTTAAACCCTGGTGTAGAGTGAGTAGGTCGTCCAACAGCCAGACTAGTAGAAAATAGCAGATTACTGGATTGGAAGCCAAGTACCCTAAATATTGATTGTGTCAAAGCTGTGATAAGTTGTTCCCCTGGTTATTCTCCTCAGCTCTGGCAGGAATTCTGTCGATACAGCTGACAAATGTGACGGCAGACTGGCCTGGGAATTTTGATCTACCAAATGGTTGTAGAACAGGTCATTAAACAAAACAAGTTTTATTTAGACTTTAAAAGCTTTACATACCGCATTTTCTTTCATAAAATAAACCAGATTAATGGAAAGAAAGAGAAGGGTGGAGAGGGGATGGTGGGATGTAAGAAGGTGCACAAAGTAGGAGGCACAAACTTGGTGTCTTAGATTGGGTGGGAATCTGGAAAAAAGATCACTAATTTTTTATTTAAAGTCACCTTTTTCACCTTGTATTTAAGGAAATACTGTAAACAAAACCTGATCCTAGAACATTACACAGTTGCTATAGTTTCAAAGAATATCCACCCATTGAGGTCACTGCTTAGGTCACCAACAAAGTGCCTGAAACCAGGGAGTTTACTGATATATCAGACCATGTCTTCATAACAAGCATGAACAGAGAGAACATTTTCTTCATTTGCATTCATTCAACTGGTTCATTCCCATTTTCAGGTTCTTTAGAGGAGTAGAGCAGGAGTTAGAATAGAATTCTTCCATGTACAAGCAACAATAAGGATTGAGGGTGCCCAATTCCCTAAAAACATTAAGGAAATTGAGACCAGTGCAAGAATTCAGTAGGGATTCACGTGGTGCACTGAGTGCTTCTTGCTCTCTGCCTATGCGTGAGTCTCACTTTCTCTTAACAGCTGTCATCTCTACTTTGTGGTTGCAAAAGAACCATAACTAATATTACTTCTCTTTGATAAACTAATCCTTGAATTCTAGTAAGCCCTACCCTAAACACTTTTAATATTTTGGAAATAGCCATTATCTTTTATTTATAACAGACACTACTGCAACATCTCCTGGACAACTTGCAAGGAAAACATTTAGCTCCCAATTATGGTCTCCTCATGCTCTGGGCTGCCCAAGCAAATGCTGTCCCCGTAAGTACATCAGCTACAGAAACATCTTCTGTCTATCCTGTTCAAAAGCCTGTATTTGGGAAGCAAAGACTTTGAAGCAGAGGTCACACACACACTGCATGGATTCCAAAGAAGGGATTATCACACCCACATGCATCACTACAAATATACCCAGGCTGCAATGTCACAGAAGCAATGACAAGAAAAGCTCTTCTTGTATTTTTCCTAAATTATGTTGTTCCCTATCATAACATTTCAGGAACATAAGCCTCATAGCTATTAAGATCACAGTCTTAAGCTGTGAAGAGCATTTAACTCTGTTTTGAAGCACTGTGGCTGTGTTATAGTAAAGACTCTATTTTAGATATCCTGGTGTTACCGATTGTAAAGAATATCAAAAGCATAATATAGAGTAACTTCATCCATGTGTAAATCCTTGAGTGAATTTGTCTCTTTCATTTTGGGGGATCTGCTGTAAAAATGCCAGTGGAAGAAACGCAATGGTTTGATTCTACTTCTGTTAAGTTTTGTCCATGTTAGAAAAGGATTTGCTGGATTAATGATCCTGATATAAGTATGCTAACAAACCCAATATATCTAACACAGCTTAGGCTGACCAAAGACATTTATAGGAATTTCTCAGATGAAAAATCCGTAGCAGCAAAACCATCCTTTATTTACCATGACTACTAAGCCCTTTCCAGCACAGTTACGTCCATTACAGATGTGATGTAGAAAAACATGACAGTGAGTTATTTTTGTATGTACCCCTAATGGATATATCTATGTTTTTTGTAGATTGGATATCACTGAAATTTAGCCTAAGGGAAATTCATCCATTTCAGTGAAGTTTCTGTGGATTCATGTGTTGGTATAAGTGGGAGGCATAGCCTGCTGTCTGTTATCAGGATAACTGACATTCCTTCCACAACACTTACTCCTGTAATATTCAGCTGTAAATAGACATACAGATATTTCGCTGTTTCTCAGAATAGGCACAACCACTGTACTGGGGAATGGAATGATGGAAAAAAAGGTCTTTCACCTTCCAAGGGCATTTTTTTAAAAGCACTTTAAACTCTTTTATCTGAAACAATTCAGTTATCCCTCCTTAGCCCGTGGAGTGAAGCCACAATGTCCAAGTGCTGTACAAGAAAACTAAGCTACCAGAGTTGTTTTGCAGAAGGAGGACCTGCATCCACATCGGGCTATTTGGGAAATAACAGTAAGAGTTCTCATCCCTCACCAGCACAGATGGCCCATGACCAGATCTGTGTGCAGGCTGCATCTCCCGCTAGCTCAGCAAGAGGAGAGAGACTCCTGGCACTGCTGCCAGTCCTTCTGGTTTCATCCTACTTAAGAGGATTTTCTCCTTTCCTAAATTTCTTGATTTTCAACTTCATTGCATAATCAGTTAGCAAATTATTTCTAAAGGGGATATACTACTCCCTGTTTTGCCGTTAATTAAAACTTTTCCTGCCCGTTTTAGTGTGACTCACTATGACAATGCCCTGCAAATTATTTAACCTCATTTCTGCTAATATTAGTAGGAATTTTATTTCCATTCATGAAGCTGAAACTAATCACACACAATGATTTCGTAGTTCATTTTAACACCTAGTTATTTGAAAATAAAGAAAGGATTCTGTGCCTCAAAGCTCAAGGCCAAAGCTATATAATGTTCACTAAAGATAAGCACACAGCAGATGACTAGACATAATCTTCCAGGAGCTGAGCCCTTAGATATGGATTTACCCAGAAAGCACAGCTCCTTGTGCATCCCAACTACAACAGGCACACGTAAAAAAAAGTGAAATTTTTTTCACCTGCCTCCGTGATTTGCTACAAAGATACTGTCATTCTGTTCTGTATTCCTAAATTCAAGGGTTTCCATCTCTGTTTAGGTTGCATTTTGGACCCTTGCTTTCATACTGTCTCATCCTTCCATTTACAAGAAAGTCATGGAAGACCTGGCTTCTGTTTTTGGCAAAGCAGGTAATAAATCTGATCATGTCCTGGAGGTTAGAAATGATTTATTCTGTGTCAGCCCAGCACACAGCACACTTGGTCAGTGGCTGGGAACAATGAGTGTTGCTGCTAAGAGTGCTACTGATAATGTCGAGTCCAGCTCTTAGTTCTTTACTCAGCATATGCTCAAGAACTATTTTTAGGCAAGAACACCTTTGATGTTATCAAAAGAAGGAGGTAGAAAAAGAACTGTATGTGGTTCCTCATTCCTATCATTTAAACTTAGATTTGTATTAACCAGTGTTGTGATTTTTCCATGTACTTATGATAGCGTCAGATGAGGTTTTTCAGTTCAGCTGCTTTTCATGGTGTGATGTTCACCAGTTCCAGCTATTCTGTGGAAAAAAGCAGGCCAGGAACTGTTTTCTGTCATCAGAGGCCAATTTATCCAGCACGATTCACACCCCATGGCTAATCTCTTTCCCTCAAAAAGCAGTTACCTACTGGGAGCAGTGATTCCCATATGCAGTGCCCTGAACCATGCTTGGAGTTTCATGGAAGGCTCTTTGTTGACGTGGGTCAAAACCATATCAAGAAACATGTTAATAATTAGCCAACAAAGAAAATCACGAAGCAGTGCTTAAGCCTTTCTCCTGGCCCTGTTTCATTTGCTTGCGTTAACACAGCCCAGGAGCTCAGCCATGGCTTCTTGTCTTGGCACCTACAATCCCTGCAACTTCCATGCAGTGTCCTACCAAAGCACTGAAAAAGTCCAGAGACTCTTACCTTCCAAAATGACCTTTCTTTGGCTTCTCTTGGCCAATACCATATCTAATACAGCACCTTAGAGTTGCTACATTCTCTTCAATGGCTTTTCTTAAAACTTTGAAATATAAAGAAAAATTTTGGATGTAAAATATGTCTTGAAGTATTTTACCAACAGTTCTAAAGCAAGACATGTCAGCCTCTATCAAAACAATTATGAAATCTCATTTTTCACACTGAGTCTTCTTTCTCATGTCACAACAGGTAAAGATAAACTGGAAGTCTCTGAAGAGGACCTGAAGAAGCTCCCTTTTATTAAATGGTGCACTTTGGAAGCCATACGGCTGAGGTCTCCAGGTGCAATCACCAAGAAAGTAATAAACCCAATTAAAATTAAGGTGAGATTTGGTTGTGGGTTTTTTTCCCCAAAGGATGGTATATGACTTGTCTGGAAAGGGTTCTCCCAACAGATCTGGATAAAATTAAAGTACCAGAAATATTTCCCAGTCTCACAGATGGAGTTATTCACCATCATTAATTTATGAGTGGCTTTGCTTCTCTTGCTCACTTCAATTTTTAGTTGATTTTAGATTGAATTGAATTGAGATGGACATACTGTGCTGATGGTATGTAAAATAGTAATCAGACACAACAAATGTAGTAGAAAGGACCACAATTTAGTGACTGATAAAACTAATTTTCTGTTTGTCCTCCTCGCTGACATTCAGAAGGTGTCAGCATTCAGGAATCTGGCAAAGAAATGTTTGGGAAAAACCCACTCCCTTAAGGAAGCAGTGCTCCTGACACTTAAGAAATAACTAATGTCTGCTGTCATATAAGACCTTCTATGAATTTCTTTACATTGAATGAAATGTTCAACAAAAGATTTAGAAAAAAACCGAACAGCTCACATGCTACATCAAGAATCAGAAAAGATAGAAATAATGCTTCTTGTCTTTTGATACCTGAAAAAAACAAATTAGAACACAAACAGTCTTTTCATGGTCTCCTACTGTTTAGGTTTTATGGAAGAAAACAGCAACAGCAAGAAGAAACTTCAAACATATAATATGGCCATCAAGGATTTATCACCTCCACTTGTTCTCTCTTAGGATTTTCTGTGATGGAAGAGAAGTACCAAGGAGAGACTGTTTTGGGAGTTGACTTGTGATTTTCTCCTTTCTTAGAGTTTTTCCTTCTTTTCAGAATTTCACCATCCCTGCAGGTGACATGCTGATGTTGTCGCCCTATTGGTTGCACCGGAATCCAAAATATTTTCCAGACCCAGAAATGTTCAAACCTGTAAGTTGTCACTTCTTGGTGTGTGTATTTTGCTGTCTTTTCTCCTCTTCACTTATTTCATAACAAAAGCACACAGACAAATTTGCCCAAAGTTGAGTATGCCCCATTGACTGGAGGATGGCCTTGTACACAGAAAAGATGGGCCCACGAAGGAGGAGCCTATAAGAATAAGCAAGACTGTAAATTCAGTGACATGTTCCAGGTAATATGGTACTCCTTCATATCACTGTGATCTTGACCTCATCACTCTCTGCAACTCCCTGACAGGAGGTTGTAACCAGGTGGGGATTGGTCTTTTCTCCCAAGTAACAGCTCATAGGATAAGAGGAGATGGCCTCAAGGCATGCCAGGGCAGGTTTAGGTTGGATATTAGGAAAAATTTCTTCACTGAAAGGGTTGTCAGGCACTGGAACAGGCTGCTCAGGGAAGTAATGGAGTCACCATCCCTGGAGGGGTTAAAAGATGTGTAGATGTGGCATTTGGGGACATGGTTTAGTGTGGCCTTGGCAGTGCTGGGTTAATGGCTGGACTCAATGATGTTAAAGGTTTTTTCCAATCAAACTAATTCTATGATTCCATGATTCCAAGTACTCTCCTCTCCCTGTCAGATGATTTCTGGTAGGTATTAGCTTTACTAATTTAGTAGTTAATCTAGTTTCTTGATTATTATTCCACTGCAGGTGGCTGTGTGGGCAGGCTTGTAACTGCTCTTTTTAGCACCATCTGATATAGAACAGTTTGTCTTTTTTATAGAAATACATCAAGGAGTAATTTAAACAAAACTTCCTTTCTAGCAAACTCTTCCCAGTTTGAAATCTCTCATAACAATTCCTGCCTGTTTGAAATCTGAAGCTGAAACTCTGATGCAGCAGCTTATTTCTTTAGTAACTTTATTCCTAAAAAGCAAGCTAGCTTGTTTTTTAGAAACTCACACTTTTTTTTCCTGATGATTTCTCATCCTGAGAATAGATGAGTGCTCCTTGGCATTTGAATGACATTGTCATTCTAAATGTGTCACCTCCTTCCTCATCCCTTAGATTTTTTTCTTTCTTTTATTGAATTTTGATGCTAACAGGTTTCCTCTTCAGAAAGCTCTAAACAGCCCTAGCTGAAAAAAGAAAACCAATCTAAATCAAAGAAAGACAAAATTACATCTTCTCTGGGACAGCTTCATCAGAGTAGTTCACCACCAGAACCTTGACAGGGTGTTACTTGGCAGAGTTGTGCTGAGTTTGTGGAGGCTGGTTTGTCACTCAGCAGTCAAGAGATTTGCTTCTCTCAGTGTCACCCACCAAAACTTCAGCCTTGTCCCTTGTGTTGTTCCTTTTCTCTCAAAACAACTCAGGATGGACAAGGATCCCTCTGGGTACAGACAGAGCTGTTTTTGTTCAAAATAGTTCATTTTCTCACACACTGGCTTACACTAGATACAGCTCACGGACCTTGCATTTGTCTGTACACAGCATCTTAGAAATGTTTTTTGTGCAAGATATGCATGAGCCACTTGTGTGTCATGACACAATTTTGTGGCTGAGGCTTTCCCCAGTACTGGTTGAACATTTGCTTGGCATTTGTGTATATTTAAAAGGACAAGGTCGCATTTTTTATAGGCATTCCAATAGCTCAAGATGTAGGATTTAGGAAATGGGGATGTATAGGAAGAATGCTTTAGGGGTGATTTTGAAAACCTCACCAGCATCTTGAGGCACCTAAATATGTTTCAGATGGGACCCTCATTTCTTTCCCCGAGTCGGTGCTGACTTTTGAATGCAGACTTTAACACTAACAGGTTGAATGCAAAAAAATGGCATTAGTGCAACTTTGTATTGAGGATTAGCTGTCCAAGGTCATTTTTAGCCTGGAGAAATAAAGTTAAGCTTTATTTATATAAGGCTGATTTGGAAAAAAAAGTTTCTTCCCACAGGATCGTTGGAAAGAGGCAAATTTAGAGAAGAATGCTTTCTTGGACAGCTTTGTGGCATTTGGAGGAGGGAAGCATCAGTGTCCAGGAAGGTCAGTGAAACAGCTGGGGTTTATTTATTCCCAAATCCTGCAGAGAACAACTCTCTTGAACTGGGCTCCTCTTACACTTGGAGATAAAGTGTTTGCTTTGCTCTTTGTCAGTCTCCTAATATTTGGCATCATCTGGACCTTGTTTAAACTGATTTGAAAGTGGTTTCATTCCTGGAAAAGACAGGTTAAGTCACACTGTAAAAGCAGAATCTGAGACTAGTGTATCAAGGGATATTGCCCCTCCACCCCCTGGAAGGAAAGTCAGCCCAGCTCTGCCTCTGCTGAGGCATCTTTTCATCAAGGGAGAGTTGTCCCACTTTCAAACTTGCCAGTTTACAGACAGAGGTATTTAAGCTGCCATAAACCAGTTCTAAACAAACCAAAAGAACATTTCTCTGGTCTGAGATTCTCATTCCATCCTCTACAATGCCATTGACATCTTTGCTGATCTTGAAATATTTTAACTGGCCCCTCTGTGTTTGAATCCTGTCTTTGCATTAAGGCCCACACAATTGTATAATGGCTTAAACTGCAGATCCTGTCTCACTTCACTCCTCCAGCAATGCCAGCCTTGATGCTTCCTGCATTCCTTCTGCTGTTTTCTCTGCTGTCCCTCTTTCTGGAACAAGTCCCAGGGAGCCAGCTGCTCCTTGTTTCTGTGTTCAAACATCTCTATGCTCAATCCTCTGCCTCCAAAACCTGGTCTCCTCTAAGAAGCAAGTAACCAAGAATCCTTAAAACTAGTCATTTTATCTTGAGTCCCACGTGGAGCAAGGAATCTGGAGAGAGTTGCAGAGGATCTGCATTCTGGAATCTGCTCCCTGTAGCAGGCTGGACATGAGTGTCAGATAAACTTTGTGAAGGCATTAAAGTGGGCAGAGTGAATAAAACTGCATTCATTATTTAGGCTTACCAGAGGAAGGTGCTCACTCACTGCTGTACCTCCGTGGCTTGTACCATATTCCTGAGCTAAATATGAGCACAGCCTCATTACAGGAAGGGTGACAGCAAAATTCACAAGAGGCACCTGCAGGTACAGGGAGAGCTGCAAAACAATGTTTCTGAAAGCTGCTTGTTTGTATATCCTGACCTATTTGTTCAGGCTGTTCTCTGGACTCTGATAACATCTTTAAAATAAGTTTGTGGTTAGGAAGAAAATCATAACATTTCTACATAGACAACAGATGGAGAATATTTTTCTTGCTGACAGACAAAAAAACTCTTTAAAACCATTTGGCAGTTCACATGGTAACATACAACTTCAAGTTTTTCAGCAATAATTGTAAAAGAATAATGTGGTGGTCTTGAAAAAAAGAAAATTAAATCAACAGTTGTATCTAGATTCCAGGCTGCAGATTTCCTTGATGTGACTGAATGAAAAAATGATATTTCAACTTTAAGATGCATTTTCCTTTAATCCATTATTGAGATTTATAAATTAAATGCATGAAACATTTAATTTCTCCATTGCAAAAGTTCAACATGAAATGAAAAGTTAATGAAACTGAAAGCTAGTAAATAACTTACTTGTCAAATATTCTAGCAAACTGACATGGGAAGGGCTCCCACAAAGCCATTTCTGTGCCATCTTTTTTACCTAAAAGAAAAATGTGATGTCAGTTTGACTACTTTGGTCTAACCAGGTGATTATTGCCTGTGTGACTCTGCTTATCTTGCATGGCTCTGTCTGTTGTCTCCTGTCTTGTGGTGACTTTGTAAAACCAGTGCAACAGCTGTGATTTCCTTCTTGGGCTCCATTTACTGCAGCATCTTAATCCACAGCTGGGATCCCGGGTTCCAGCACCACCCAAATATGTAGCAGTGCACCGGGGGCAAGATTTCAGAAAGCACATCTTGGTCCAGGCCCTTTGTCACTAAATTAAATGGGAAGGCATCAGTGACTCAGGGTTTTTACAGGAAAACTGCTCTAGGACTCAGTCGTGAACATGAAAGACAGGTGGGAACTAAGGGGCTGCATTTTGCTGCAAGAGAGCTCATGGTTTCTGCTCAGTACAACAAGCCATGGAAGAGGACATGCTGGAATGCTGCAGTCTGGCATTTCACTCCTGGATTGTCCTTCTGACCACCCTCAGACACATGTGTTGCTTATTATCCTTGTATCTTAGCATCTCTGTGTGCAGAGCAGAGTAACCACAGCAGCCTGTTGGGAAAAGCACTTCAGGATCTGGTGGTAGGAAGTGCTGTGGTCAGTTGCTGGTTATATCCATGGGACAGCCTCCAGAGGGTACAGAGGTGTCAGGGCTGCGCAGTCCACCTCCGGCTGTGCTGGTGTTTGAAGGACTCTGTCCACACAGCCTTTCTACTTTCTGGGAAATCCAGATGCATTTGGGTGAATCATGGTTCACCCCTGCCAGACCAGTGAGGGGGCTCAGAGGCAGGACCTCAAGCACCAGGGGTCCAGGGCCCCGCTGTGCAAACAGGGCTGGGACTGGAAGGATCCCACCGTTGTACAGTGCTGCAGGCATGGAGTTTGGGCTAGTACATCCCACCTGATCTGGGCTAATATCCACTGAAATATCCCTGCACTGCTTTCCCCAGAGCTCAAGGTCACCAAAAGCTCACAGAGATAATTTGGGTCTGAAGCTGTGCTAAAACAAACAACCATCCTCCCACTCCAGAGCCCAGGGCAGCTTCATGTGCAGATCCTGATGGTTCTGCAGGAGTTAGCCTGGGTCTCCTGGGGCTTCTTAGCTTCTTCACACCTCCCAGGCCAACTCCAGGCTGATGCCATGCACAGTCACATGGCCTCCTCCCCTGCGAATTCCCCAATAGATGTTTCATCCAGGTTTTCCAGCATCTCTCAGATAACAGAAAATAAACTGTAGAAGAGGAAGGTAGTATTACTATTTTAACTGGGTATTTAAGACTTATGTCTAAATTCTGCAAGTGAGTAATCCCATGACCGGCCATAGGTGTATGCTGCTTAATGCAGAAAGCTTTTGTATGTATCAACCTTAAAAAGCAATAGCCTGGAGGAGTTCACCTGCAGTTATCCGAAACCTTCTCCGGCCTGACTAAGAAGGACCTTTCTGAGAGTGTTACAGAAAAAAGAAATCCTGCCCTTGGGTCTCCTACTGCATCCTAATGCTGATGCATTAAATAATAACTCCCACTGTCACCGCTCTCTGATGTCATCAGGCTCCCAGCTGTATTATATAACTTTATATAGCATGATTAGTCATATGGCCTTTTCTGTGTTTGACTGCCTTCTCACTCCTAGGAAGTTATTTCAAGTCAGGAAGCGTTAGGAGAACATAAATGTTTATACAGTGGAAAAATCCATAATGATAAGGGTCTGGTTTAAAATAGGGTGTCAGAAGGATACCGTTGGTCTAATGTTTCACCAGAAAGAAGGGGCAGCCACTACATTCGTGTTCTTTGCTGAGGAACAAAGCTGAACAAAGCTACAGCAGATTTCCCTATGGAAGACAAACTTTCAAGGAGAACTAAACCATGGAGTGTAAAATGTGTCAAAGACACCCTGTTTGTTACCTGATGATAACATATGTGTTATAGTCAGGCTGGATGGCAAATGTTTTCCTCCCTTTTCTTGCAGGTGGTTTGCAATCATGGAAATCCAGTTGTTTGTTGTTCTGTTCCTGTACAAGTATGAATTTGTGGTGTTGGATGCAGTACCAAAGGAGGTAAGAGTTCCATGCAATCATATAGCATTCCCCATCTTTATATCCTCCAGTCATCAGGCTCAGCTGAATAGCCACGATCAACTGTGGTTATGTATAATGAAATGAAATTTTGAGAGGAGTGTTATAAAACATGTAATGCATAGCTCAGTCTTTGTTTGAACTTAAAAAACCCAGAATAACTTCAGCAATTCCAGTTAGTGGAGCTGCACTGACCATACAAGAGTATTCTGTCTCATTGTTGCCTAAACATCACCAGAAATTTGATAATTGCTTTCTGCCACTCACAAAAACAGTGAATATGGAACTGGATCATTAATACTCTAAAAATGTGAAATCAGATGCAGCACTCATAGTGCTCTTCCACTCCATTTTCAGTGGTGGAAGGTAAATCATTAGGGTAAGACTGAAGGAGTAACTGTGACACGGAGAGGTTTTACCATTAAGCCAGAATGGCACAGTCTCCACTTTATTATTCTAATATTTTGAAAATATTCAAAACTATGAGAGTTTCTTAAGAGCTCATGTGTCATCCTGGCAGAGTGACTGGAATGAAAACTAATCATGAAGGCCTTCCTCAATGGCTTTGGCAAAGCCAAGAAATACTCTTGGTATTTGGTTTTGGTTCTCTAAGACCAAAGCTCCAAGAATATGTTTATATCTTAATACTAAAGCAAGATAATAAGTCCAATGACTGAACTAACTTAAATGTTCCTACTGATATTCTTCTCTCTGCAGAGCCCTTTACACTTGGTGGGGACACAGCAACCCATGGCACCATTCCGGGTCCAGTATAAATGCCGGGAATAAAAGCTGCCCAGCACTAACCTTCCTTTGCCATTCCCCCCCCACCCCGCATGGATGAACCACTGAGCTGCTTCCCTATCCTACACCTTCAGATAAGTTCTCTGCCTGAAGAGTTCTTAATTTCAACTTTCAATGCTGCACATACTCAATATTCACATATTCAATGCTGAACTGTGCTGTGCCATACCAGAATAGTGGTACCTGTGCTCTGCACCTGGTTGCCCACCTCCTAGTGCTTAAAACCCAAGCTCTCCTGCTGCATTCATAATTTGGGGGGCAGTTATTCACAGATTTTGCAAATCTGATATGCTAAGCTTGCCAACCAAACATTCAGGACAAAAAGCTGCAGTGTTTGGAAATCCTGCGTGGAAGCTGTGCTAGAATGTGCAGGTTGCTTCAAACCAAGGCCAAAGTGGTGCCTCATGCTAAGAAATCAGATTGGTAACACTGTACATCTCCCTGGTGTTGGTGTGCACAATATCCAGGACAGTCTGAGCAGAGACCACCAGATCAGATCCACAGCCTGATAAAATATCATGACTTCTGTGCCACTGCCTCTGTGGGTAGGTGAAGATCTGGCCTGCTCTGCCTGCAACAGGTGCCAACTTTTTGCAAATAAAATGCATTTGTAATGGAAAAATTGCAAGCACTTGGGTCTTGTTCCACTGGAGCCCCTAAAATTTCTACTGAGCATTACTTGTTCCACAGGATTCAGAATTGGTCCTTGCATGAATATACAATGAAAGTTTGACTGGGATGTTCAGCTCTCAGTAAAAAGTGATTGCAAAAAAAGACTGGTTGTCTAATATCTAGAACACTTTTGCTTTCCCTTTCACGTGACTTATAGAACAAATTGCACAAATCTAAGAATATTCAATCCTATAAAGAATACCTAGTAAAAGTTGTTTGATGGAGCTGTCAAGTAAGTTCAGATAACACTTTCACTGCTGTCAGATTTCATATACAATAATAGCTGGCATGTATTTTTAGTCTATTAAGTAAAGATTATTCATCATTTTAAAAGTATTTGCAAAAAAAAATCCCACACAAATAGACTTTCAACAACAGTAAAACTATGGGAATAACAAGCATAGGAAAATAACACATTGTATAATTCATTACGTAGTTGGCTTACCTTCGTTATGGATAGAACAACTTCAGTGATTTATACGGTTGGAAAATGATTCATCCGACTTCTAATTTAGCTCATTATAGTCAACTCTGCAAGAGTTGCACTCTTAACTGCTATTTCAGTGTCTCTTCCAAAACTGAAATCTATTCCCTTGGTTTTCATGCACAGTATTACCCAGAAGTGTATATATTAATTTTAAAATTTGGCAATCACCGCAATATCTGTAAGGCCAGGTGGGACAGGGCTTTGAGCAACCTGGTTTAGTGGAAGGTGTTCCTGCTCATGGCGTGGGGTTGAAATCAGATAATCTTTTTAAGGTCATTTCCAACCCAAACCGTTCTGTGATTCTATGGTTTTATGTATTTTCCAGTTTTGCAAAGTTATTTTTTTTTCCCAAATGCGCATTGTTTTTTATTTTTCTGTTTAATTGATTTTGAGGTTTGGGGGTTGGTGGGGTTTTTTTGTGGTTTGTTTTGTTTGGGGGGTTTTCGGAGATTTTTTGGTGCGTGGGTTTTTTTTGTTTGTGTTGTTTTGTTTGGTTTTGTCCCTGTGATTTGGGATTCCCCCCCCCACGAGAGATAAATCAAAAAAGCAAAATTCTATAATGGCAAACTTGACTCTAAAGGTAAAAGGTCCCAAAAGGAAGGTCAACATCGAATTGGTTAGAAGGTATCCCTGCCTATGGCAAGGGTTTGGAATGAGATGATCTTTGAGGTCCCTTCCAACCCAAACCATTCTGTGATTCTGTGATGATTTTTCTATATATTTTGCTCTCCTTTTGCACAGACCTTCACCTCGATGTGCCAGAGCAGGGAGCAGGATGAGGCCGTTGGTGCTGCTTCTGTGAGTGCTGAGTGTTTCTGAGTTGGCCAGTGGGGCCACCAGTACATACACGTTTTACACATGTGTTTGTGTATGTGCCTGCTGGGAATCCATGTGCAGCCTCACTACAGGCTGGGCCCAGAGCTGCAGCAGCCTCACTTCTGTGAGGATACAGGATTTAGCAACTCCCTAAGCAGCTGAGAATCAGACATGAAAATATCTGTCCTGAAAGGCATGACTTATTTTTATTAGAAATGTAGGCATTTGGCAGGAAAGAAATACCTATTTGTGGCAGAGAAATACCAAACAAGCAGGTAAAGAAAAGCGGGCTTGGCTCTGGGATCCCATCAGTGCCCTGTGGTGGATGACAGCTCCAGGCACTTGCTGTACTTTCCTAGGTGGAAAAAACAAGGGAGATGGATTAGTAAAGCAATGTAGTGGTCAAGTGATAGAGCTAAATGAGGTCTTCTGCCTGGAAATAATTCAGAAGCTTCTGGGGGAGGGAGAGACTTTCCCATGGGACAGGGTTAAATGGGAATTAAAAGGTCATCACGATACCCTATGCAGGAGTGGATTAACAGTATCTAAATTATTCTTCTTCAAGTGTTCATCCAATCTGCTTTTAAATACAGCAGTGCCGAAATTCCATAGGGGATCTGTCCTCTTACCCTCTCTACTGTTAGAAAGCTGTTCTACGTATCAGAAGCAGGAGTCAGAAACAGGTTTTATCCATGCCAGTACCAAAAGTGGATGAAGCAGGAGATTTTTAAGCCCACGGAGGAAAAAAAAAATACTGTATTTTGACTTATCTTTGTATTTCTACCTTCTGTATGAAGTATGGATGTTAAAGGGAATGCAGTGGGACATCCGTCAAAAAACATCTTAGAAAATGCAATTGTTTCTCCTCCAGATATGCCATAGGCCAAATCTACCTGATAAATAATTCCAACATCTAAGCCAGTGAAACAATAGTAGGAGTTGTCTTAAAGAGAGAGGAAATCTAGAATTATGAGAAATGAGCAATAAAACTCTGTTAATTCAAATTTCCTTTAACAATTTTTGAATTTTATTGTATATTAATGAAGAGTTTCAGAAAAAAAAGAAAAAAAAAACAAGGAAAAAAAAGGGAAACTATCACGTTGCAGCCAAACCTTTTTTGGCACTTTTGAAGAAAGTATAAATATTTGCCCTGAAATCATAAATTTCCCTTGGAAACATAAAACTCATGAAAACATTTTGAGTTAAAATTGTTCACCTACTGCAAGTGAATTTTCTCCAGTCAGTGCAGTGAAAAGATGACGTGCCGTATCAGCAACCACCTCTCAGAATAATCACAACTTCTTTCATGTCTTCCCTCTAATGAGCCTCCCTGAAGGCCCCTCTCATCTGCACTGAGCAGTCAAGTATTTCAAGTGGTCTCTTTCTCTTTTCTTTGCCACTGATTGCCACAGAACCCAGAAGTTTAGGCTTAGCACGTATACCTCCTCGAAATAGATGTCTGGGGACTAAAAGATAGGGCTGTGGCCATTGAGAGGTGAGCTAAAAATAATTACTTCCTGCCCAAAAGAAATTAATTCTAAGGCCCTCACTCTGTGCTGGGCTTAAGCACTGTGCCAAGCAAAACTCGACTTAAGCATGTGCTTTGCTTTAAACAAACACTTAAAATGGATTTGCAGAATAAGAATGGATTTCAATTTAAGCACAGGCTTAAGTGCTTTGCTGAGCCAGGGTCCAAATGCCTCAGTCCCTAACCTGTTGTTTACAGTTAGTCTTGGCATCTGTGCTGTAATTTTAAAGCCATATGGGGGTTAGTGGAAACGCTGAAGTGGCTTTGCTCATTTTAGGTGAAACTGGCAAACATTAAAGGATTTTAGGAAGCATTTATAGCACAAACCAGTGGGCTTTGTTGGCAGCAAGCATCTTTCCCAGTTATTTGGTATATTCTAAATGTGTGGCTCATCATATGGCAGAAAAATATTTCCTCTCAGCCAGTATGTGGTGGAAGGGGAATTAGACACAAGAAAGGCATTCAGAAGATAGCAAGCACTTAATTGCAACAACCAAGGCGAGTCTTTCATCATGTGGCCATTCTGAATGACATTGGACATGCAGCTGATTGTCACAGCGTTATTTGTTTTCTTCACTTTGATCATAAAATTACCAGGAAAGGCTTAATGGAGTTATAAATATCTTGTTTCCATGAGAGTCCTGGGAGGATAATTATAGCACTGAAGTCTTTACAAAGATAGAGCATTTATGAAATGATATTATCTGAGGACTCCAATGCATAAGGCAGGGAATTCTGCCCTCTATTCCCAACTCTCCTATTGACTCACTGGGCTCTTTGGGTGAGTCACTTCATCCCTCAGTTTCCTCACCTATACATTGGGGTAATAATGACAATTACCCGCTGCTGCAAAGCCTCTATGGCTTAAAAGTTGTAAGTATTGCTCCCACTCATCAGAGCACTCAAGCCTGGTTATGGATAGCAATGGGTGTCTGGAAGGGTTGGATAAGATATGTGCTTTCCTGAGATGTGCTCCTTGTAAGTTACATTACTTGTGGAGTTACAGTCAAAGTATTCAGGGGAAATATTTTAAATCTCTTAATTCATGCATTTTAAGAGGATGATGAACAAGCTGTACCCCCCAGTCTTTAGAAATACTTTGTTTTTAATGCAAAGCTTGGAATTTAAAGACTATGGGAAGGTTTGTTGTTGAGTAAAAATACAACGTCCTTTCATAAAACCAACCCCTGCAGAGAAGCATAACCTAGAATGTTGAGTAGCAACCACCTGTGAGTAGGTGCACCCATACTCTAACTTCCCTAGTCTGCACCAGGCTTTTACTGCTTTAGAAACTTCATACATCATCTTTCCAAGCATGCAGCTTTGAAAAAAACAAGTGAGGAAGGAGTGATGGCAAATGAGCAAACAATTGGGCCCAAGGCCCAGTGGGATACTATGTCTGAAGGGGAAAACATGGATTTTGGATATGAAAACAAAAACTTCAGTGCTGGAGAGGAGATGCTACATCCCTATTGATAGCACTGTAACTGCCCTGGCTGTGATTCCAAACGGCTGCTGATAAATTTGAGAGAGATCAGAGCTGAATCAGAAAGTTGATGGAAATGTTGCTAAGCCTGCCCAGCTTTGGAGTCCATCTGGTGAGCTTAAGAAAGAGAATGCTCAGAAATTACTTAAGCACAGCCTGAGGATACCCAAGTTCAATAATGGATGGGCCTTTGGAGCTTGCTGTGCCTTTTTTGCAGTGAACTGAAGTGAAAATGAGCAGATTCCCACCTGAAATGAGGTAAAAATGCAGATCAGGAAATTGAATTGTTTTACCAAGCACTGAAATTACATTTCTAAATTAATAGTCCTGACAACAAAATTGCCTTATTTTTCCTAAAACAGAAGCTTTTGATCTGGGGTGTGTGCATTCCTGGGGTGGAGAGAAGAGGGAAAGGCATCCTGATTACTTTTCAGGAATCTGCAAAACATAAATCAGGAAAGTCTGAAGACCTAAATTCTCTATACGGGCATTCTGCTTCCATAAAGCAACTTTTAGGTAGTCTACAAAGGCAGGAAACATCTCTTTTCTGAGGGCGTAATACTCAGATCAAATAATCACAGCTAGGCAGAGAAGCCTAAATCTAAGGAGGATCATGTTCTTTACAAAGTGTAATTAGGGAATGGAAAGATTTAGCATTCCCTTTTTCCTGGGTCCTTGCTCAGAGACAATAACCAGTGATTTCTGTGAAGATCTGACCCAAATTAAGAGCCAAGTGAGGCTCTGTGGGTCTAGTCTCAGCACTGCATGCCCAGACTCTTCTAGCTGTGGAATCTTGCACTGGTAAAGAGTGATCCAAGCTGAAGATGGGGCTCTGTCACACTTTCTCATGTCAAAGGTCTCAATTGTACACTTAACTCTTTCAAATTAAACACGAAAGTTTCACTGGGTTCCTAGTGTTGGTCTTTGTTACTGTTGACACAGATCCAGAGGCAATTTCAAGCCACTGGCCTTTTATCTGGCCTTTATTCTGAAAACCATCATTGCTCAGAAAAAGCATCATGTGTGTCTTGTTTGCTTGACACCAGAAGAAAATCAAGGGCTTTCCAGTATCACGACATGGCTCCCCAAGTGTGATTCCCAGGTTAAAATGAATAGACAAGCAGTGCAAGATACTTAGAGTTCTGCTTTTTAAATAATTCATTACAGCTGAAGATACTGCCTTTGATGCTCTTCTGTCCAAATCTTGGTATTATCATTTACTATTTTAAGCTTGTTTATAGAACTGGAATAATATACAGATAAAAAAGGATGATTACAAGGGTGTTTTCAGGCATTAAAGCTGAGGTTTGAAGTTCCTTTTTCTGAAAAAATAAACGAAAGAATGTTTTACTATCTGAAAACCTGGCAACTGGTCTTTGCTTTCTTTGCTTACCATGAACTGAAACCAAGCACCCCTTTGTTAAAAGCCAGTTTCATCCCAATGATCTGGTTTTTCCTTAAAATAATAAAAAGGCCCAAATCAGCAATAGTCTGTCCTTTGGGTGTTAAGGAACATATTCAACTGAATTTTTCTTAAAGACTCTGG